AGCAAGAAGGCATGGGTATGAGGGGGTGGGTTGGGAGGGGGGTAAAGAAAGATAAAACATCAGCAACACAAAGACCGAAAACATGGTTTCATCCGTCTTTTTGTACATTCATGTGTCAGGTGTAACTTTTTAGAATGTTTATATTCTAGACTAATGATGACTCATCAGAGAGACGAAGAAACAGAACAGGAACAACAGAGGACAAGCATTTTGCTATTACACACGGGTGAATGTCAGAGTTAATATATATTTTTATTTTATTTTTATTATGTTTTGTTTTAGGAATTTGCCGAGTCAGAATACTTAGGGGAGCCAGCTGTGCTAAAACAAGGCTGCTGTTAAAGGCTGTTTTTCTTGTGCGAGAGGAAACGACTTCTGCCCCCAGAATCGAAAGGGGCTCCGGTGATGGGACTCGCCCTCACTGGGATGGGTTTCTAGCTGGAGGGGTGAAGGAGAGTCATCGCTTCCATGGATGGGCCTTGTGGAGAAATTCAGCGCACTGCAGGTGAAACCTGCCCAGTGCTGAAACACACAAGCACGCTTATTTCAGGGCACATATGTGAAAACTTTGTGGAGGTGCAATTGGAACCAAGAAAAGGACGCACTTCTGTACACAAAGGGTGGTGGGAGTGTGGAACAAGCAGTCCTGCCATAGTATTGAAGCTGATACCCTGGTTTCTTTCAAGAAACATCTGGGATCAAACAAACTAGATGGCTCCTCTCACTTGTTACCCTTATTGTGTTTTTATCCGGACAAATGTTCCTGGACTTGCCCAACCCAACGGGCCACGCTGAGGCCTGATGGGAAGCTGTACCGTGCTGCTCCTCTGCTCGTGAGTTTTCGAAACGGTTGCCGATTATTCCTTGTCTTTAAAACTCCAGCCTGCTCGCCCCGGTCATGAGTCACAGCGTAGCAATCATGCGTTGTAATTGGCGGTGTGGGCCGAGGGTGAACCCATGAAGAGTCGTCCAGGTCGTTTGGTAGTTGCTAATTGAGGAAATCCACAGAGTTGACTTTTTCAGTCCCTTTGAGGATTTTGAATCCTCAAGGGGATTGGAAAATTTTAAAATTCTGCTTTTGTCGAATTCTCTTGGAGAGGCGACCTCCAGCTCGCTCCAAGCAAATACCGGAGACAGAGCAGGCCGAGCTGTGGCAAAACTGCCGTCGGTTTTGCGTCAAAGCCCCGGCTTTTTTAAGTTTTGCCCTTACTGCACTTTGCTCCGTTCCTCTCAAGTTTATTTTTGTGAAACATCTGGGTTCTGGGGCTTGATGGAAAGTTTGCAGGAGATTGCAGGCTAGGCTGAGGTCCAGCAGCGCCTTCTGCTCCCCAGAAGCAACAGTGTGTCCTCTGAAAGGATGGGGCAGGGAGTGGGGGAGGAGCTGGGAGGGAGGGGTGTTCCATTCAGAAAGATGGCCGAGAGAGATCCTTCACCCCCCCTGCATGGTGTATTGGTTTTGGTGTCTTGCGTTTGAGCCATGCCCTTTCCCCAGGTGGAGTTCGGAGTGAGTGGGGACCCATTCACACTTGTGAGGTGGGCGGCAGCTCTGGCGTGGGTGGGAGTGTGTCCCGGTGAGAGATTACCATGCTGGTTCAAGCAGGGAAGAGTTGTGGTGCAGTGAGCAAGCCAGACAACTGGGACAGCACCCCTTACTCAGGATAGCGTCTTCTCCTGCTGTGGCACAGTGTTTCCTGTCCCCATGCTGAGGCATCGGTTTTGGAAACAGCAGCCCCACCTTCAGGTCCACTAGCATTATTTCCAACAGTAGCCGAATTTGTTTTCTTCGTCATTGCTCAATCCTGGTCCTGACCCTACCCGGTCTGCAACCTTCAAAGGCCTCCAACCTTAGCTTCCTTACAGCCATCTACGGGTACAGGTTCTGCACCATACCGAGTTTCTGTACAGCGATCACGTCTCACTGTTTTTTGTGACGTTCCATGGTGACTTCTGAGTCGCAGTGGCGTTGCCTGTGTCCACGGGCTGCCAGCTCGCCCCCGCATGCCCAAGCAACAGTCTGTGTTTTTCAGCAGAAGGCAGGTGTAGCACCGTCTGCTTGAGGAGGACAGCGTTACTGTTGTTTCTATTTCGGAAGCCTTTCGTCATGCTTGTGCAAAACTCTCAATTCCAGCACGAAGGAGGGAGCAGCGAAGGCCGTCCTGTCCATTTTGTAGCCCGTCTCGTGGTTCAGTTTTTGTGAAATACTGGCGTATGTAGAGGTTTTGATGTTTGTGCATTTAACATGGATCACAGCGGAGGGGGTGGCAGAGGTGTGGCGCAGACTGGCAGGGGAGGCAGAAGTGTGGTGCTGTGTCGGTGATTGTGGCACAGGCTGGCAGGGGAGGCAGAAGTGTGGTGCTGTGTCGGTGATTGTGGCACAGGCTGGCAGGGGAGGCAGAACTGTGGTGCTGTGTCAGTGATTGTAGTACAGACTGGCAGGGGAGGCAGCTGTGTCAGTGATTGTGGCGCAGACTCACAGGGGAGGCAGCTGTGTCAGTGATTGTGGCGCAGACTGACAGGGGAGGCAGCTGTGTCAGTGATTGTGGCGCAGACTCACAGGGGAGGCAGCTGTGTGGTGCTGTGTCAGTGATTGTGGCACAGACTGGCAGGAGGAGGCAGCTGTGTCAGTGATTGTGGGGCAGACTGACAGGGGAGGCAGCTGTGTGGTGCTGTGTCAGTGATTGTGGCGCAGACTCACAGGGGAGGCAGCTGTGTCAGTGATTGTGGCACAGACTGACAGGGGAGGCAGCTGTGTGGCACAGACTGACAGGGGAGGCAGCTGTGTCAGTGATTGTGGGGCAGACTGACAGGGGAGGCAGCTGTGTGGTGCTGTGTCAGTGATTGTGGCACAGACTGGCAGGAGGAGGCAGCTGTGTGGTGCTGTGTCAGCGAGTGTAGCACAGACTGGCAGGGGGTGTCAGCAGTGTGGCACAGACTGGCAGGAGGGAGAAAGTGACAGAGGAGCAGCTCCAAGCAGGGTGTGGTCTGGCCAATGAAAAACAGGCGACTGTCTGAGGTCAGGCCAAGGGGGCCTTCTCCTGAGCAGCCTGTGTTGGCATCCGAGCTGGATTCAGCACAAGACCTCACGTTTTCACCCCCTGAGCTTAGGATTTGACTTGACGCTGGACAAAGGAAGGGAGGGGCTGTAAGTCAGGTGTTTTCACTGACTTACACCCCCCCACACACTCAGATGATGGGTTCTGCTGCTGAAGACCGCAGTGAGAGGTTCTGAAAGTAAACACAGTAGTTAAGCCCTGGCCCTGCTTGGTTCATTACAGAGTGCTTTAAATAGAGTTAGTGAATGAATGTGGGTCCACTTGCACTGATCACCTGAACTACTGATCCAGTTGGCTCACGTGGAGGCTCAGCTGGAGTGACCTAGAAGACCCTGTTGCTTTCCGGGTTCAGGGCTGCCGATCGCCTAGGCTTTTAGGCAGTAGCGCCAACCTGTGCCCGTTTGGAACCGCGACCTCACCACATTGTAGTCAGGCCATCGTTAACGTGGAGCCTCTGTGTGACCAAACCCAGTACGCCAGCATCCAGCAGAAACTGCATACTTGTGCAACTTTGTAAGTGTAAAAATAACAATAAAAAATCACCCTGCTATAATCAAAGAAGACAATTGTTGCCATTTTCTTTCTGTAATTAACAGGCTGTGAGCTAAGCCGGTCTGCCCTGTGGTTTTCTCACAGACTGAGTGTGAGCACAGCGAGGGAGGGGTGGGGAGCTTTCGGACCGCTCGGGTCTGGAGGGGTGTACCAGGCGGCGCATGAGCTCAGCTTTGAGCCTCTGCTCAGCAGCGAGCAGTGTAGGGTCCCCAGGAAAGGAGCTTCACATATCTGCTACACGCTCTTCTTGCATGCTGGGCCAGCCCTGCGCTCCTCGTGTGAACAGTCCTGGATCATTTCGAGCTGAGATTTTTAGCGGAGTTTCTCCTCTGTATTGTGGAAGAGGGCGCTGGCTTCGGAAACTCGGACCACTAAACTGGTCCCGGGGGCCTTTTTGGTTCAGGTAGCGTTTTCCAGAACCACGACCCTGCTGTCTGTATAGATCCGAATGAGCCCAGTCCAGAAGCTCCCCACTCTTGCTGAAGTCTTCAGTTTTAGAAAAACAAAACAACTGAGTCTCTAGACGATCAAGTATCGCACCAGAGTTCTTTGTTAAAAAGAAGACAATTTCAAAGCTACTCCTATAACTACTAAATTTAAAAAAACTAAACTACTACCTGGTAATTTAATTAATTAATAAATATTAAAACAAGGTAAAACAACCAAGATACTGTATAAGCAATATGTTATTTTAGTCAAGAAAATGAAGAAAAACTAAAAAAACATTGAAAAATTTGTCGCTTCTTTATTTTGTACTGCATTTTAGACAATGTTTTAAAAGAAAAATAAAATGTTAAAAATGCCGAATGTTTCTGCGTGGATTTCCTGTGCGGTTGCGCGTTCCGATGTCCTCAGGGTCTGGGATCCCGTGGCGCTGTTCTTGACCCAGCGGTGCCACCGCTTCGTGCCAGGCTGCGGGCACACAGGAGCCTGTCTGCCCAGGGGTCTGTGATCATGTTGGGCGCTGTTGGCAGGCCGCTCGGTGTGCTGGTTCTCAGGGGCTGGCGGCTTCAGAGCAGAAGTGTGTTCAGGACGTGGAGGGTCACTGTTCCCCGCGCTCACTGTCTGGGAGAAGGACTGGTGTCGCAAGATTTGAAGGTATTTTTTTGTATCAATACTAAATGTAAATATTAAAATTGCTACACATACACACTCTTCACATACACTGACCCTGTCCTACCACACATGCTTACTCGGGCATATGTTATTAAGGTAGCAAGTCATCCTTAAGAGAAACACAGCCTTCTGCATTATCACAGGAGCTCTTTATTCATGTGAACACAAAGAGGACCAAAGGGAAACCAGACAGAACAACATCCATTACACTGGTGGGGGAATATGAACTGTAAACGAAGGGCCTTTGATCTGAAATGTAGCTAACATGTTCGCTAGTCTACAGTTTTCATCTACAGCACAGCTCTTCAACATGCACCACTGGCCATGTCTGCAGTAGGAGCGAGGTCATGTCAGGTACATTTCTTACAGACGCTCTTTTCTTGAAAGTGCGAGGCAGAGACAGCATCAGGGTTCTGCGCCATCTGCCGGCTTGAGCAACGCCAGTACCGGTCCCCCCCAGTGCAAGACCACAGCTCCCCGCCCAGCCCGACCCGCGTTTAGAAGCCCATTCAATCTTCCCCCTTGATTAGCACTGTGGGCATGGCGGAGGAGGAGTCGGGTTGTGGTGAGGAGTGCAGTCCCAGCAACAATTTGAGCACTGGAATCCCAGAGGCGTCGGTAGTGATAAGCGGACGTGACATTCAGACAATATACGAGATTGGGCAGGCGAGGTTCATTCTTTGCTAGCTAAAGTGTAAGGAGTCTCCCACTGCTGTAAACCCCCAGACAGCGAGTGGCTCTCCCCCCACATGTCCATGACAGAACCCACATTATGAAGCTGAGGCATCTGCACACCACATCCTGGATCACACTGTGGCTCAGCACAGGGTGGGTCCAACTCTCACCTGAGACTTTGTAGTTCAGGGGCTGGGGTCAGGGCTGCTGAATGGGGATCTTTGCTTCCTGAAACAGTGGCTTACGCTGTACCCCATAAAACCCCAAACCCTAAGACGATTCCAGCAGAAAAACAAAAAAATCAACACTATACTTTCAAGGTCATTGGGGGAATGAATACTTCTGTTCATGTATTCACAAAAAAACACAAGTCTCTCTTACAAACCAGATCTGCAACAGCTGGAGGTCACCTGCTCATAGATAGAGTTCTGGTATAGGAAACGAGTTACTACCCCTTTAATTACAATAATACCGACAACTGCAGTCGATCGCAGTGTAGAGTCTTCACAGGCAGAGCTGCAGCGCCTCCACTATGTTTAGAAACCGGAGGGACACATCCTGTGTGATAGACGGAGGAGCAAGCTTCCTTATTCCACCAGGGGTCAAAGTTCAGGGGTCACTTCCTATGTGAGGTTCCGGGGGGCCTCGCTCAGGTCTACGGAACAACAGGGTCTCCTCCCTCAGTCTCCCCTTCTGTCCCGCCAAGGGCTCGAACCCGGAGCTCCATGTCCCTCGTACAGCTGGCTGCCAGCAGGGACCTGGGGGGGGGGCAGAGAGACGGAAGGCAGGGGTGGAGGAGAGAACAGAGAGGCGCAGGCCCGCAAAAAGGAAGTGGTTACACAAGCGAGCCCATAAAGAACATTCGGGTGTGGGTGAGGCCGGAGAGACAACAGGAGTATCAGGCGGAGCTGCAAGTGCAGTGCAGTGCAAATCCGCGATGGCAGTGATGGCGCTGTGATGTGCGTTCTTCGTCTGGGTGATCCAATATTACTGGCCAGGCTATGGATGTAAACACAGACACTGGGACCCTCTGTCACACCATAGGCAGACTGGGCAGCCATATCATCCTGCAACTCATAACTGATAACCCAGTGAAGGTCAGCAGGTGCGAGCCTGGTCAGTACCTGGATGGGAGACCTCCTGGGAAAGCTATGGTTGCTGCTGGAAGAGGTGCTAGTGGGGCCAGCAGGGGGCGCTCACCCTGTAGTCTGTGTGGGTCCTAATGCCCCAGTATAGTGACGGGATGAGATGTAAAACCGAGGTCCTGACTCTCTGTGGTCATTAAAAATCCCAGGTCGTTTCTCGAAAAGAGTAGGGGCGTTACTCCGGTGTCCTGTCCAAATTTCCCCCTGGCCTCCTAATAATCCCCGTCTATGAACTGGCTTCATTACTCTGCTCTCTTCCCCACTGATAGCTGATGTGTGGGGAGTGTACTGGAGAACTATGGCTGTTGTCGCATCTTCCAGGTTGGGGCTGGTGGTGGTGGAAGGGAGTCTGCATTACCTGTAAAGCGCTTTGAGTGGAGTGTCCAGGAAAGCTCTATATAAGTGTAAGCAATTATTGTTATTATTGTACTGCCTGGGCTTGGAATGCACATCTGAACAACGTCACAGCTCTCAGTCCTTTACGGGTCAGCGAGCCCTGAGGTTCCCTCTTCAAGATGAGCCCGTGGTGGCATGCCAGCCCTCCGCCCCAGGCCGCCTCTCCTCATACACTCATGACAACACAGCACTGCCTTTGATTAGCACTGGTGTTTCAGTTTCTCTTTCAACAAAAGAAGCTGTGTAAAAGCTCTGCGGGATGCAGGGGATCTGAGATTCTGCAGGAGGGATTAAGGCATGTTGGAAGAATGAATGTTGGCATGACAATGGCTGGTTGTGGTCAAGGATGATATATAGCAGGGGCGATGATGTCACTATCTTTTGTATGTCTCATGCGAGGCCATTAATGGAGTCCAGAGGCACACTGTATGTGTATGAGGTAGGATAATAGACCTGGTGAAATGTATTGTGTTGTTTTAAAAATTGTAACTAAGTAATCAGAAAAGGAAAAAAAATGTGAAAATGAAAATGTGTAGCGCTCTGTCATTCTAGTAGCATTCACATTATCTGTGGCAGAGAACTGTGAACTAATAATGTCAATTATTAAGAAACAAAATGTCACCACAGCCATTAAGTACAAAGGAGGGTGTGTTAAGGAGTGTGGGTTACAAGATGTGGTTTAGCAGGTGGGTGTATTAACGGGTGTGGTCAGATGCGGACAGTGGGGTACAGAGAGAAAGGACGGGGCTTACAGGCGGGGTGTCCGGTGTCGGAGAAGCTTCTTCAGCCTGTTTGTTAGGCGGAGCCACCTGTTAAAGAGAGGAGGGACTGTCAGACAAAGTCTCTCTGGCCTCCCTCTTTCACTCATGCCATCGCACTTCCCTGTGTCGTCACGTCACTGTTTCCCACAGTCCCCCTCTCTCTCTTACCTCTCCTGGGCATCATTGTGCAGGTTCACCCTCTCTGCCTGCTCCCGCTTCTCCACCAGCCAGCGCTGCAGCAGCTCCTCCCTCTCCCTCTCCGCCTGGCCCAGCCCCGCCTCCAGCTCCGCCCGGCTCTGCCGCAGGCCCGCCAGCTCCTCCGCCTGCTGCTCCAGCTGTAGCTCGCACTCCAGCAGGCTGGCCTGCAGCGTGGTGGCCAGGCGGGACAGGGAGACAGCCTCCGTGCGGTAACGGCTCACTCTGGGAGAGGGTCAGAGGTCAGCCAGGCTGTGTACATGCGATGGCATGGTGCAGTGCTTGCAACAGGACATGAGAGTGCATGTGTGTGTGGAGCGTGTGGGCGGATGTGGGGCTGGGCCCCCCCCATGTGCTCCTCACTGTGGGTGAACCCCGCCCCCCACGTGCTCTTCACTGTTGGTGAGCCCCGCCCCCCACTGCTACTCAAGGTGGGTGAGCCCCGCCCCCATGTGCCCCCCACTGTGGGTGAGCCCCGCCCCCCACGTGCTACTCACTGTGAGTGACAGTACTGCAACTCCGCCTCCATCAGACCCAGGCGGGCAGTGAGCTCTGACATTGTCTCAGATTGCTGAGGGAATCAAAACGCCAGGAACAACATGAGCAACATGCAGGACAGGCTCCAAGCTCCAATGCCCATTGAATCTGCCAATCATCTAATTCTAAACACGCTAACAATAAAACACGTGGATTTTATTACCAGACTGATACAAATATATTGAGAGGCACTTCTTAACACAGTCCAGTTAATTGCTACCAAAGAACATAAAATCAGTACTTCCTCTAAAGAGTTTTACTTCAATTTATGTTTTGTTTGATGTAAATATCATTACTTTCATTTGCTTTGGCAACACTGATTGTACCCATTGGTCATGCTAATAAAGCACCTTGAATCGAATCGAATCGAATCGAATCGAGTGGTGTTTGGTTTAATTACCATAGTCAGGAATAAATTCTTGGAAATTGCCAAAATTTACTGGCCTGGCAGAATCTACCTGCAATGGGCTACTGGCATTGTTGACACTGTATACATGTGAAAATCTGAACCGTGCACAAGTTAAGATTTTTCTGTCACAAAGGGTCTATTCCTATGGTAGGATTCCTCTACTGCTCCACACTCAGAAAAGCACAGGTGTCTAACCCGTCAGCGGCCAGCTTGGGGAGAGCTCCCTCTGAAACGGAGCAGAGGAAACTTCATGCAAAAAACGTAGGGGTCGCCCAGCAGGTCAGCCTGCATAAAACGTGATTATTTGGCTGCGAAAGAATTGGGTGTTGTGATCAAAGTGCCTTCTTCTACAAAAGGAGAAAAGGGGGCTCTTTAGCTCCTTCTTCCCAGTATCTACCCACCCACCCCTCGGGTCACGGCCCAGCTAAATAGTCGCGTTTGTGATCAGCGGACATCAGAGGACAGGCGTGACCCCTCACCTGCTGGCGAGCGAGCCGGCTCTCTCTCAGCTCCAGCTGCACGCGGACCGGATCCTCCAGAGACTGCACCCACCCGCTGGCGTCTGGGCTGCGGGAGAGACGCGCTCATCAGAGACTGCGGGCGCCGCCCAGTTCCTTCTGGACCGCGGCACAGCAGTACTGGAGCCACACTTGGGATGCCCCGAAACACGGCTTCATTTATGAGAGTGGGATTTTAGAGCCTACCATGCATCTCAGCATTGTAATATTCGTATTTTATACTGTATTTCTTCCACTTGTAGTATTATGGATTTTCGGACCTGCTCATTTTGAGTCCTGTTCATTTTCGCCACTCAGTGTTGTATATTCTTTCACAGTGTGGCACATTTTATTAAGGAGGGCTCCAGATTCATACCTAAAGGGTCAAGGGTTCAAATCACAGATACACAGCT